CTATTCTATTCTATTCTATTCTATTCTATTCTATTCTATTCTATTCTATTCTATTCTATTCTATTCTATTCCTAGTCTAGTCTAGTCTAGTCTAGTCTAGTCTAGTCTAGTCTAGTCTTTCTCTACTCTACTCTACTCTACTCTACTCTACTCTACTCTACTCTAAATTGTCTGTCTGATAGGTGGCACATGCACTGCAGGAGAGTGGGCATTAAGCGTGAATTTCCATTTTGTCCCAACCTCTCCCTTTTCCATATGACCTGGTACCCGGGCTATTGCTTGGATAATGGCTTAGCTGTCTTCTAGAAGAGCATTAGACCTATATTCAGAAGTAACCCACTAACAGGTCATGGGCCAAACAGTGGGACATGGAAGAGCATCAAAAAGCAGCTTTGATCCATGCCGTGTGCTGTGCATGCAGCCTGTCTGCCAGGTGAAGTAGCAGGGTGCAATCAGTAAGACTTGCAAAGGAAAGGGAGGTTGGCACCTGTCTATAGTCAGCAGCCCCTGCATTTCTGACCTGTCACTCAAGCTGACGGCAGAAATCTTTGACAATTTCACCCCCACTCCTACCAATGTCCCAAGTTAATAAGTGCCACAAGATAGTGTTGTATTGGCATCAAGAGACTGTACTATCAGCCCTCTGAAGTAGGCCATGGAGCTCCCTGTGCCACACATACAATAAAACTATAAAAAGCATGGCTGCATGCAATCCCTTGTCAGAAGTAGTAGAAAATCTGTAACACATTCATTTGGGATAAAGCCAACAACAAACTGTTGGCAGAAAGCTACCCTTTTCCTTTAACTTAACCAATAGGCTAGTCCATTTTTTAAACTCAACTCTAACACTCAATATCAATAGTCTTTAAAACAGGGTCCAGAACTCTTCCAGGAAAATACATTATTATAAAGTAAGAAGTTTCTATAAAGTTCAGTCAAACAGTAACGGAGCAGATGCCTCTGTGGCTTCTGCCCTCTTCTATGCTGTGTGTCCCAAATGTCCATGAAGAGCAGTGGCCAGAGGGTATGTCTGCAGAAAGGCCAAGAGGAGCTAGGCAGATCCCAGCTCAGGAGTCTACCATCACCAACATAATCAGTGAAGCCTTGGAGGCTATTGCTATAGTAAGTCTTATACTGAAAAGAAGAAAACTAAAATGGGAACAGTTAAATAGAATATCAGTAAACTTCACGGTGGACTGAGATGAGATGAAGGCAGCAATGAGGATATGTCCTGAAAAAAGGGTTAGCAAAGCATCTTGGTGCAGGTACATAAACATGATTCCTCCTTTTCTGTCTACTGTAAGTAGCAGAGATTCTCTTGATCAGCTACTAGTATTTAAAGAGCAGAGTCCAAAATAATCTGGGGGTTTGAACTTTCAAAGCACAAGTTCACATTCTCTCCCTTGACTCTGCACTTTTGAAGTTGGTATGGCTTTCCTATTTCTTTTCCCTGTGGTTCACCCAGGTCTGCTATCTCCATTGAAGGATGCCTTTTAGCTCCTCATGCTGCACAAAAGGAAGCTTTTATTACAATAACATGGGGGGAAAGATAACTAGAAACCAAGAGGTAGATAACCATGACCTCTACAGGATGACATTTCACAAAATCCTAGTTAGACGTTTCTAGTTGATAAACAGTACTCGGACACAGATGGGCAAACTTTGGAGAGAGGGAGGTTTTGTGGGTCATTTTGAGAGTATGTCCACACAGTTCTATCAACGTCCTGACCTAAGGGGTACTGTCACATGCACTTTAAATTTTATAAGTATCATCTTCTAGCAATGTTTCTCATGTAGAATAAACAGTCCAGATTTTTTGCAGAAGAATGAATAACATGCATGTTTGATTCCAGTACACAAATCACTTCAAAATAATAATAGTAGTTCATTTTAGACTCCTGGGAATTGTTTTGAAACAAACTCTACAAGCATAATTGAGGAGATTGTGGGTCACATATATCAAAACTTTTATAAGATCTTAGAAAGTCTCAACATGCACAAATGTTTAACCCTTTGGGATAGTCAGTAAGGTATTTGTAACCTGCATCTGCATAACAACATTGTATTCTCTTATCTTCCCTCTTCTTAATTTAGTTTAGCCCAGTGTTTCTCAACCTCCGCAATTTAAAGATGTATGGGGTGCAACTCCTAGAATTTCTCACACATCTTAAAATTGCTAAGGTTGAGAAACACTAGTTTAGCCACTCCATGCACTGATGAAGTGAGCTGCATTCTTGAAAGCTTACGCTTTTTAATAAATAGTACTAGTCTGAAAAGTCACTGCCAGATTCCTGATTTTGGATTTTTTTAAAAAGTAATGGACATATTTTGCCCTGGTAAAACAAGAAATGATAAAAAAAGAGATTGGCTAATCGGTAAAAATTATAAATAACAGCCAAATCCGACAAAAATTTGCCCTGATCTATATGGTGCCTCAAAATGCTACTGTTGTAAAGCCAGTTTTAATAATGCATTGAATCTAGATTTACAGGTAATCCTCTATTTCCAACCAGTTGCTTAACAGCTGTAAAAAGGTATGATGAACTCCCCTCCCCCACAAGCTACTTATGACTCAGTTTTGAAGGACAATGGCTGCATACCGCATCCCCTTCAGTCATGGGATTGCATCGGGAGTTTGGCTACTGGCTCATCATGATTGCTGTTTGTAGCATCCTGCAGTCATGTGACTGGTTTTTTATCTTTTTGGCCGGTTTCTGGTGTTTACTTCCAGTTTCTGGGAAATAATGCTCGTTGGGTAAAATAATGACCATCGTATTTGCTTAATGACCATCACACACAAAAAAATCAGACCCAGTCACATGATGCCTTAACTTACAACTGCAACAACTTATGACCATAATTCCAGGCTTAATTATGGTTGTAAGCTGCGGACTACCTGTAGTGATGCCTTAACAAATTCAATAAATAAATAAATGCACCGCCATTACTGGGATTCACATTAACCAAATCAGTGCGTCAAAAATTTGGGGTAGGGAGAAAATTGCTTGAAAAGGTAGCATATAAATCTTTAAATACTCTGGATCCAAACCAGTGATAGGGCAGTAAAAAAAGGGAGGGGAGAGAGGACAAACAATACATTGTTATAGGCATCAATATAATTTATGAATCCAATTCCTTGGATATAGACTGCTGGTCATCCTAAAAAAAAAAAAGTATCAGTGGTGTTAAGTGATGGACAGCATCTGTTAATAAGGTGGGGCAGTTCATCTATTATAACACGGTTCACAGGTTTGCAGATCCTGCAGGCTTGCAAAAAAAAAGCATCATTATAGAATATTAAAAATATTAATACTGCTGGTAAAGCAGCTCGACTCCCTTCAGAAAAAGTTCTCTTTTTCTAAATGAGAGTCCTGCAACCTTTACTGACAATATTAACCATCTTAATCTCCCCAGACATCAGCACCTTGAGGGGGAAATGATCTGATCCTTCTTTTTCTAGGTTTGATAAGGAGCCCTTCCAAGTTCCTGAGGGGATGCCAATCAAGATGGAAAAGAGACTAGAAGAGTTCTCAGAGAAAAATATGGTGCTTGCAGAAATGCTGAAGAATCTCAAAGGTACAAAAAAAATATGCTGTATGAATTATTATAGTCAGCAGCAAAACAATGTTACATATGTAGGATTCCCCCAACCAGCTAGCTATGCCTTATTTAAGGGTTCTCCATGTTCCCTCCAGTTTTTCTGCCTTTTCTTCTGCTACCTTCAGATAGATACAGGTAATGCTCAACTTATAACAATTTGTTTAGTGACCGTATGAAGTCACAACAACACTGAAAAAAGTAACCTATAACCATTTTTCACACTTATGACCATTACAGCGTCCCCATGGTCATGTGAACAAAATTTGGATAGCAGGAGATTTATATATAACTTAGATTTATATACCACTTCACAGTGCTTTACAGCCGTCTCTAAGCAGTTTACAGAGTCAGCATATTGCCCCCCACAATCTGGATCCTCATTTTACCAAACTCGGAAGGATGAAAGACTGAGTCATCTTGAACTTGTCAGGATTGAACTGCTGGCAGTGTGCAGAGTCAGCCTGCAATATTGCATTCTAACCATTGCGCCAGTTGGCAACTGGTTCATATTTATGATAGTTGCATCATATGATCAACTTTTGTGAGCTTCTGACAAACAAAATCAGTGGGGTAGTCAGTTTCAATTAATAACCGTGTTACTAACTTAACAACTGCCTGATTCAGGCAGCTATGACAAGAACGATCATAACATGAGGCAAATCTCAACTGTCTCCTTTAGCAACAGCAATTTTGTGCTCAATTGTGGTCATAAGTCAAGGACTACATGTAGTACGCATTCTTTGCTCGTGCTCTGACCTGACTAGTTTTTTCCAATACTGTACTATATTTTTTGAAACCTTGGAGGTTCCTTGAAGCTGCTGACACTTCTTTTTTCTGCAGTCCTATCCTGGCCTACAATCTAGTTAGTGCTCAATAGCTGTATTTTGTAGTTTTTATTAGAACAACAGAGGAAAAAATCTAGCTTAAAACTTATTTTGAAAGTGTTATAAAGTGCTCAAACGTAGCAGTATGTTTATTTTTCTCTAGAGCTTCCTGGTGAATGATAACATGAATCTACGACATGTTTGGATTTTAATCATTTTTTCCATGCATTTTCCCAGTATTACTGTCAATTTCTTTCTGGTTAGAAATAACCTTTTATGTGTAATTTCTATTTAATAAACCTTTTAGGTTTCTGCAGTGATTTACATTTTTTTTTCCTTTTGACTTATCATCCTGAAAATTAGTCCTCTAAAATCTTAAATAAATAAATAAATTTTAGCACTCTAAAATCGGTGATTTTAATTTCAATAAATATTATAAATACGTTTAATATTAAATCAATATTGCCACTTGCAAAATAGATGTAACAGTTGAATCAATTGGAAAATTAATATTTGAAAAAAGTACTACAATTACCATAAAATACTCAAATCTCTGAACAGTATTCTTTTGCATGCATATGGTCTCTCTGAAATCAAACTCATCTCAGAATGATGTATTTGTGTTGTTTTCTTGACAGAAACATGGAAGTAGTTTAGCATTGCCTTTTTCTAGGATATTTTTTCAATTTCCTGGCATAGTCTATAACCTGGGATTTCTGATAGTCTTCTGATGACATACTGCCCCTGCATAAAGATCAGCCAAAGTCAACTAAATTCTAATTCAATTAAAAAAGTATAAACAGGCTTTTTTCCCCCTAAAAAATAACACCAAAATGAAATGCCTTCAGTGATTCATTGCAAGTATATGGAACTTAGTGCTCAAATTCTAACCATTCAAATTTTAACCATTTTGAATATTAATAGCTTCTTCAAAATAAAATGCCCTTTTAATCTTTTCTTTAGACACTCTTCCCTCAGAACTAGGAACCGAATGGGGTAAGTATGTGACATTTGAAATAAAGTTCGTTCATGCTTCTTTGGCTCTGCAAGGAAATGATGGTTATAGATAAGATTTGATATGTTAGCTACTTTAACGCAGCAGATTAAACTTGATGCTTTTATTTTGACTTAAGTTCTCATCATTTTGTCTGGGTGAATATTGCATGAACTTGGATATGATACAGGTTTACCTTCAATACAGGGAATCCAAGATCAGTCACAGGTGTTTAGCTGCTGTTACTTAATAGGATTATTTGCATTATTATTGTTTTGATAAAACAAATGCTTTCACTTCAATGGCTTCATTCATCCTTTCCCTCCTTCTCCCTGCAGTTAACATAACCCTTGACAAAGACACGGCAAACCCCCAAGTCATAATTTCTGAGGATCAAAAAAGTGCAAGATGGGATGTCACTCGGACTGATGTGCCACATAATCCTAAGCGATTCAAGTCCTCTTGCTGTGTGCTGGGTTGTGAAGGATTCATATCTGGGAGACACTATTGGGAAGTCAACGTGGAAGATGGAGGCATCTGGGCGATAGGAGTAGCCAGGGGCTCTGTGAGGAGGAAGATAGAACTTAAACTCACCCCAGAGGAAGGGATTTGGGCCTTGCAAGGAGATTTTGGCCAATACCAGGCTCTCACCTCACCTGTAACTGCTCTGCCGCTCCTTTGTACTCCCAGGAGAATCAGAGTGTTTCTGGACTATGAAAGGGGAGAAGTAGAATTCTTCAATGCCGACACAAAAGATTCCATCTTCCTTTTTCCCTCAGCTTTGTTTGCTGGCGAGAGGATTTTCCCCTTTTTTAAGGTGTTGCTTGCTCAGCTGACTCTGGATGGCTGAAGAGCTTCCTTTGAGGAAGATGCACCCGCATTATATCAAGTTTGAATTCAAGAGGGGTTTAAAAGAATTATGCATGTTGAATCAAGTTCTGGTCTGCATTAATAGCTGCAAGTACTGAAAAGTGGAAGTGGTTCTCCAGATGTAGTTAGCATAGATCAGTGAGATAAAGTATTGTGTATATGACACCGGATGTGGATGATGTCTGCATTGTAATCTGGAGGTGGATTAGAATAACTGGTTTTAATTATATGGTAGCCTGTAAAGTTGTGTAGTCTTGTCCCTTCATCAGTTCCTTGTCTGTTGTAATAGGTCTTTATCGTTTTGTCAAAGATGGCATAAGCATTACCTGATGCCTTTGGACCTATGACTGAAAAACAAAGTGAAAATAATAAAGGGAGTTAAATCAAGTGGAATAAGTGCTTTACATAAGGTTTCAACATACTTGACTATCTGATTCTAATGATAAAAACTCATGTTTATTCTGATTGATGACTATAACAGTTGCCTCTGCCAATTATTGATTTGATTTTGTTAAATTAGCATCAATATAAGATTATCTTAAAATATGTTAGTACTAATCTAATTTGAAAATTCATGTGCAGTTTCACACAGCTTGTAAATGTTTTTTATTTCATTTGTTTTCTGGTTGTCCTTTTACAAATATGTTAAAATAAAACAAACATTACAAAAGCGGGTTCTTCAATATTTGTACTCCTGTAATAGATCTGGTGTTTGTGACAAATTTGGAGGAATAAACTGCAAATGTCTTTTCTGTAGCAAAGCAAGGCTTCCTTTGTGAATTTTTCACTGATCGTTGACTTTCATTACAAAATCATACACATCACTTGCATTCAACTAGTAGTGCCATTAGCAGAGAACATATTTACAATCATGCAAACGTGGGTATATAAACACATGTATATAGGCAACAAAAAATGAAACCTTTTTTTGAAGGGCCATTTGGAAAAGAGGGTTTTTACGTAACATGGCAGTTAATATGTATGGTGACCTATGTTATATTGTTTATGTGCCATCTGGTTTTTTCATATGCTAATGACCACATAGATTTCTCCATGATAATATTTTCTATCTGTATGGTTTTCTTGGTAAAAATAAAGGAATAGTTTACCACGGCCTTCTCTCACACTGCATGAATGGATGGCTTTGTCACTATCACTGCCCGTGGTCATTTGTGTGCTGCTGCCCAGTTACAGCCACCTGCTTGCTCAGCTGGGCAGCTTGGATGAGCTTCACACCTTAGAGTGACCCTACTGAGGATGAAGACTCTTAGCATATACTCCTTAAGTTCTTCACTCCTCACTCCCAGGAACGCTTCCTACTCCAGCCGCAATGAGGCAGCACATCATAACTTGGAGCAATTGTTTTATGAAAATGTGCCATCCCTTTGTCCAAGCTACTTTAGATGCAATGTGCTGCAGTTCTCTAAATATCCTCCCTTGTTTCTGCAGATCTGGTTTGGTGGTGATGGCGTATGAAAAACCTTATAAACAAATACACCTTTTCCTCTGCACTATACGCTCGTGCAAAAATACTGCTTTCTTCTCGGCGTTGCAATAGACCGACAGGCACCTTTTCCTTCCTTCTCCGGAATCCGGTCTTTCCTAGTGGGGATGGAACCCCTCGAGTCCTCGCCCAGACAAGCTTTCCGGCGCGGGGGTGAAGACCCCAAATGCTCCATGGAGAAGTCCGCTCCGGCGCTGGGAGCGTTTTTCGGAGGAGTGGAGCCCCGCATCTTCCGCGGCCTCAGAACCAATCTGGTTCGTGTAAGAAAACGCGGTGAAGGAGTCCAAGTACAGCCGGCGTCCCTTCCAGCCTTGGCTACGGAAAGTCCCAACTGGAACTCTGCAGAGGGGTATTACTTGCTCCACCTGCCTGAGCCGTTTTCCATTGAATGCGGGCGTAATTTCTGCCAGTCGGGCATCATCCAGTGCTGGGGGCCGCTCGGAAGCGGAGAACATCTCCTGACCCCAGTGCCGCCGATGGTCTCGCTGAGCGACGTCGTGGAAGTGACCAAAAGGCTCCGGCTGGAGGCCGCCGCCTCGCTGGCTGGCCAGAGGGTTTGCAAGGAACGCCAGGAGCCGCTGAAACTCTTCTGCAAGGAGGACGAGATGGCCCATCTGCCTCAACTGCAGGGAATCGTGGGTGACGGTGCTTCCATTTTACGTGCCAGGAAGAAAATGGTGACAATAGTTGGGGGCGCTTAGAACTCCAGAACAGTAATTGGGTCTCCCAGGCGTAGTTTTGCGTCCAGTTGCGGAGGCTTCCCTGGTGGTCGGAGCGGAGAATGGCTGCTTCTTGATGAGCCTTTGCAACTTCGGAGAAGTGTAATTATTATTTGGGAAAGGACTCTTTTGTACCCGCTTTCTAGTAAGCAATTCAGGCTAAGTTTCTGGGTATCAGAGAGTTTGAGTGGATAACATTACTGAAACTGGGTATGCTGCCTTGCAGCGTGTCCATCCAAGGTGCTTTGGCAAAATTCTTCATTAATGCCAATTGAAGTGGATATTAGCTGTATTAGTGAAAACTATATTTTTTTACAGTTTCCCTTTTAAAATCTACCTATATAATAGTGACAGTAATCGGTACAGTAACAGATAAAGAGTATGGGTAGTGTCAGAAGAATAATTTGGGGTTCCAACTCGAGCCAAGGCTGCGCAAGAATAAATAAAAATGAGATCCAGACAGCTGTGAAGAAAGAAGAAATATATATTCCTAAAAGCAAGATAGTTTGCATTTAGGGGCGGGCTGCAGAGAAAAGAGGTACAGCAGCAGATTTTTATAGGGGAAGTTTCTCCAGGGTTTCACTGCTGATTCTAGAGTGGTACTTAAGGTGTGTATAAGTATGTTTATTCTTGTGAACATGCAGTTAATTCTGTTTATGTTTGCAGACCTTCGATATTTATTTTATTTGGTTTGTCAATTGCTTACAAGATAATAGGTATAAGTAAAAACATAGTTATGAATACATGGATACATACAAGAAAAATAAAAGAAACAATAGGACAGGGATGGTAGGCATGTTGGTGCGCTTATGTACGCCCCCTACAGACCTCTTAGGAAAGGGTGAGGTCAATAGTAGACAGTCTAAGGTTAAAGTTTTTGTGGTTTGGGGAAGAAACCACAGAGTCAGGTAGAGTATTCCAGACATTGACCACTCTGTTGCTGAAGACGTATTTCCTGCAATCAAGTTTGATGCAATTAACCTTGAGTTTGTTTCTCTTGTTTGCTCTTGTACTGTTATGGTTGAAGCTGAAGTATTCATTGACAGGTAGGACATTGCAATGTATGATTTTATATACTATACTTAAATCGGACCAAAGGTGGCGTAGTTCTAGGTTTTCTAGGTCTAGAATTTCAAGTCTGGTGGCATAAGGTATTCTCCAAAGAGTAGAGGAGTGGAGAACTCTTCTTGTGAAATATCTCTGGACTTTCTCAACTGTGTTAATATCAGATATGTAATGCGGGTTCCAGACTGATGAGCTGTATTCAACAATTGGTCTAGCAAATGTTTTGTATGCTCTCGTTAGTAGTGTGATATTACCAGAAGAAAAGCTACATAGGATTAGGTTAACAACTCTTCATTCCTTTTTGGCTACGTAGTTACAGTGGGCTCTAGCTCTTAGATCATTTGAGATGAGAACTCCAAGGTCCTTGACAGAGTTTGGATCATCAGCAAGTCTTGACTATTCAGCTTGTATTTATTTTCTGATTTTTTCTGCCAATAAGTAAGACAGAGCATTTATTTGTTGAGATTTGAAGTTGCCATTTGTTTGACTATTCTGATACATAATCAAGGTCTTTTTGGAGGGTAGTAGTATTGTCTGTGGTGTTGAATAGCTTTACATCATCAGCGAAGAGAACACAGTTGCTCTTAATATGATCACAGAGGTCATTTATGTAGACTATGAAGAGAGTTGGTCCTAAAACACTACCTTGGGGGACACCACTGTTGACAGGTACAGAATTTGATAGGACGCTCCCAATTTTGACCATTTGTTGTCTATTTGAGAGGAATGCTTCTTTCCAGTTATGCAGGTGGATTAGGTCTGGGTAACTAATTTGGGGGTTTGAGGAAGTTTGCTAATTTCAGTTGATTAACTTAGTTTCAGTTGTCAATTATCTAGTGGAGACACTGATTCTCAGACAATTGTGGATTCTACTAAATATTTTAAGGGAAGATGGAAACAGTACAAAGAATAAAATATTTTTGCATAGAAAACTTCTCACAGTAGTTAATAGTGATGTCACATTCTGTGCTAAGCACATTGAGCTACAAGCATATTCCATAGTTCTTGGTCCACAGCTAGTCTCCACATCCTTCCATTAAAGAGTGATGTTTTTCAGATATTCCTGTAATGCTTGGCGCCAGGTTTTCTTTGGCCCTTCTCTTTTTCTCTGATTATCTGGTGATATCCAATTGATTGCAGTCTTTGCTGGATGTTGCTTACTTACGCGAAGCACTTGTCCAGCAAAGCACATTCTTCATTCTTAGTTCATACTTTATTAATTTTAATAATGGAATTATATATTCTGATACTTTTTTTCTAAAGATTTAAGGAGATTTTTTTTGAGATTAAGAGAAATTCTAGATACAGGAGCTAGTGGGCAAGTCACTGAATTGAATAAAAATGAATGAATTAAAAGAGGTTGGTGTTTAGAGAAAAATAAGCTATTATCTCCTGCCCGAGTCTCTATTGTAAAATTTTCTGAAATTATGACTTGGGAAAGGTTTTTTAAGATTAGCCAAGATCAACTTGGATTATAAATTGAATTCAACCCTTTTGACACGAAGTAAATAACAGAATGCTGGATTTTTTTTGCTCCTCTACTAAAAATGTTGCCCAATTTATTGATGGTAATAATAAACTTTGCATGACAGATTACTTTCTACTACACACTTTGTCAGAGGCTGTATTCTCTATATAAAAAGCGATTATTTGAAATTAGCAGTAATTTCCCAGCTTCTGTATGCATCCTGGCCCTCCTTCTTGTGACAGCTCCATTCCCAATTCCAGATCATACAGATCCAGGAATGTCGAACATGGATGAGGAGAAAAAGCTGCAAGGCTCTCATTCCAATGGATCTGCAGGTGGACAGGAGGAAGAACCAGGTAGTAATAATAATAATATCAAAATCAGGAAGCCAGTCACTCAAATGAGGGATCTAGGCTGACATCCTAGTAAGCTTTAAGAGGTCCTTTACATCAAATGTACAAGAGAGAGTGGAAAGGCTGCTCTGAATATGTAAAAGTACAGATTTTACTATGGATATGTCTGGACATGTTCCTTGTCCAAGATGCTCCAAAAAGAAGAAGAGGAAAATGGATTTATTCCCAGGACTGTATGTAGTTTATCTCAAACAGTTAAATGTCAGGCTGGTTTTATCCCACTCCCTGTGCAGACATTTATGCAGTTTTCCTGCTGCATCATCAATTCTACTTATTCAGTTTCTATAACTGCCCTACTCAATCAAGTGACTCTGGGTGGCGTATAATTCTAAATGAATGAAGGCAAATATAGGTGTTTTAGAATATAATTATAATAATTATTAGAATATAATTTGTAGTTTTTGAACATAATATAATTAGATGTAGTTCTATAATTTTAATTATAAAATTATAG